GGAGTCAGCACACACTTTTCTTGAAACACTTTTCCCAGCTGCTTCAGACACTATCCTGTCCTGATTTTCCGCCTACCTGTCTGGCTGCTATTTCTCAGTCTCCTTTGCTGTCTCTACCTTTTCTTTCTAACCTTTAAATGTTAGAGTGCCCCAGGATGTGGCCTAGGCCTTCCCCTGTTTTCTGTCAACACCCTCTCCTGTGGTGTCTCATACAATTCCACGGCTTTAAATCCATCTATATGGTGAGGCTCCCAAAGCTACATCACTGGCCCTGGCGCCTCCATCTGGATGTCTCACAGGCATCTCACAATCAAGGTGGCTTTTATGACCCCTGGCAACTGGCCACTGTCACTACAATTGCAGTGACTCAGGTCATAAACCTGGCTCCTCCTCACCGCCACTCTTTCCCTTACACTCCAAATCCATCAGCAAGACCTAGCTCCTTCTATTGAACCACTTTTCGACACCTCACCCTACCACCGGTGTGAGCCACTGTGTTCTCTCAACAAAAGGCTGTTCCCTGACTTTCACTCTGCCCTCTTATAGTCCACGTTACACAGAAGCCAAGTAATCTTCTCAGGTTGTAAACCAGACCTGGTGGCTTCCCTGATCAGAATTTCCCATGGGTTATTCCTCATGATCTGGTCCCTGACTGTATTTCTCACTGATATCCTCCTCCTCTCCACTTGCCTCCAGCCCACTTCCTGCTCAGCACACAAGCCAGACCCACCCCAGGACATTTACACTTGATATTTCCTCCAGAAATAACATGGCTCTGTTCTCCAAGTCTTGGTAGTCTTCTCCTATCATCAATATAAATAGTCTCCTCCCCAACCTATCTCTCTTACCCCTTACCCTGCTTTATTATTTTTCATAGCACTTGGCACTTCCTGATGTTCTATTATTTATCTTTCTCCTGATGTGTTGTCTGTCTCCTCCAGTAGCTTATAAACTCTGTAAGGGCAGTGAATGTATATGCCTTTTTACTGTTGTATCCTCATGAACTTGAATGGTGTCTGGACAGAGCAAGTTCTCACTCATAAGAAATTGGTTGAACCAATGGATTTGACTCAGAATTGAGAAACTGAGAACAAAGTGTAAGCTGGCTGTCCACATGGTTGTTGATGTCGCTGAGGTTGATGGGAGGAAGTGACTGGAGGAAATACAGAAGCAGGTGCGGTCAGAGCTCTCACTAGAATTGAAGGGATGGCAGGAAGCTCTGAAGCTGTGAGAAGCTGGCCATATGCTAGAAGGTGGGGAGTCCTGGCTTATAGGGGAATCTGCTCTTTGGTGAGGAAGGAGGACAGGCCAGTTTTGGGGTCATTGCTGAACAATAAAACTCTGTAATTATGGAAATGCTATATATCCACACTGTCCAATAGAGTGACCACCAGTCACAGATGGTCATTGAGCACATACATGCAGTTAGAGTAACTAAGGAACTGAAATTTAATTTTATGTACTTGGAATTCATTTAAAAAGTTGCATGTGGCTAGTGGTTACTGGTTGGTACAGTTTTAGACCTCCCATTAAATCATATCACCTGGACAGTGCTGGTGGAGAATGGAAGTTCAGAAGGATTTCATAGGAAAAAATTTAAAAACAGTATCCCTCATCTCTCTTACAGAGTTTAAGAATAAAATGCCTGTTTCTTTCATAAGTGGATGAAGTGTGACAGGAACACTGGGAGTAAAATAAGGGTTAACCAACTAAAGTCTGGTGTGGTGCTGTAGGATTAGCACTGATCTGTTAACCACAAGGTTGGTGGTTCAAACCCACCAGGTACTCTTAGGAAATCCTATACAGGGTCGCTATGAGTTAGAACTGACTTGCAGGCACTTAACAACAATAACAATACTCCAAATAAACATCTTTTCATTTATTTATAAAAACTTACAATATCACGTAGGCAGCAGAAACTATCAAAACACTGACTGCTCATATTGGTGTTAATTTTCTTCTGTCAGGAATTAGACCTTATGTTCAATCAGACCCCACAGTCCAGATGACCTGCCAGAAAAGTCTATTCTGATTGACTTGTTATCTAGATTTCTTTCGACACCTGGGAGAGATGGAAGCTGTTGTAATTCTCTACTTAGAATGAATTGGGGTCCTAGGTGAACCAAGGAAGAAGTCAATGTGCATGGGTGGTGAAAACTGTTAACATAACTAACTGCTAATTGAAAGGTTGGGGGTTCAAGACCAGCCAGAAGTGACTCAGAAGAAACTCCTTGCCATTCACTTCCAAAAACTCCATCATTGAAAACCCTGTGGGGCACGGTTCTACTCTGGGCACCATGAGTTGGAATTGACTCCATGACAGCTGTTTTGTTTTTGTTTTCAGGAGACACCGAGCTAATAGTAGTAATTATTCGAGTTCACATTTTTGTGATCTTATTGTGTGCCAGCCACTGTTCTGCTGGGGTTGAGAACTGCATTTACCTCATGGGATGATCTGAGGGTTGACGGAGGTAATGTGTGCAAATCTCTGGGCACAGAGCCTGCCCTCACAAGAGCTCAAAATACATTTTTTTTGAAACATAAATGCAGCTATTGTACCAGGTTCTCATAGCAAACACTGCTTATTGTTGGGTTTAATGGTCACAATAACAGAAAATCCCTGAGATGGGAACTTTCAGTTTCAACTTTTCAGGTTCAAACTTTCAGTTTCAACCAACCCTTTACTTGTTGTGTGATTAGTACCCCTCTGGTAGCATAGTGGTGACGAATCAGGTTGCAAACCTTAAGGTCAGCAGTTCGAAACTACCAGCTGTTCCGCGGGAGAAAGATGAGGCTTTCTGGTCCCGTAAACATTTACAGCCTCGGGAACCCTGTACAGGGTTGCTATGAGTCGAACTGACTCCACGGCACATAACCACCAGCACCACCACCTTTTACAAGAGGCCCTGGTGGTGCAGTGGGTTAAGTATTAGGCTGATAACCTCCAAGTCAGCAGTTCAAATCCACATAATATCATATCCTCAGGAGAAAGATGAGGCTGTCTGCTCCCATATTTAGTCTTGGAAACCCTAAAGACAGTTCTACTCTGCCCTAAAGTGTCACTACGAATCGGAGTTGATTCAATGGCAAGGGATTTGCTTGGCTTATGGTTTCACTTTTTACACCATAATCTTTAGCACCAAGAGCTCCAGGAAGCTTTGGAAACTCTGCTAATGGCAGCTGGTGAAGTCCGGAGCTGCCTGGAGCTCTTGGTGCTAAAGATTATGGTGTAAAAAGTAATTATACTTTGTTGTCCACTGGAATCTCATGGGGAGCTTTTAAAATATCCCAATGCTGAGATCTCCCTCCAAACCAATCAAACTCAAGTCTCTGGGGCAGAGAACTGTGACCCAATTATCAGTATGTTTTAAAATACCCCAGGTGATTACAATCTCTAGCCAAGTTTGAAAATGATTCATTTAGCCAATAGAAGACAAAATAAAATATTGTATTGAAATACGCAAAGACCCGGAGTTAGAAAAACCAAAAGGGAAAACCATGCTTAGCATTTCTTAAACTGAAAGAACTGAAGAAAAAATTCAAGACTCGAGTTGAAATATTAAAGGATTCCATAGACAAAATATTGAGTGATGCAAGAAGCATCAAAAGAATATGGAAGGAATAGAGTCGCTGTACCAAAAAAAATTGGTCCATGTTCAACCATTTCAGGAGGTAGAATATAATCAAGAGCCAATGGTACTGAAAGAAATTCCAGCTGTACTGAAGGCATTGGTGAAAAACAAGGCTCTAGAAACTGATGAAATATCAATTGAGAAGCTTCAAGAAATGAATGCAGCACTGGAAGTGCTCGCTTGTCTGCGCCAAGAAATGTGGACGAGAGCTACCTGACCAACCAACTGGAAGACATACATATTTGTGCTCATCCCAAAGAAAGGTGACTGTACAAAATATGGATGGTATCTAGCAAATATCATTAATAGCATATGCAAGTGTAAGTTTGGTGAAGATAATTAAAAAATGGTTGCAGCAGTACATCAACAGGGAACTGCCAAAAATTCAAGCCAGAAAAAGATGGGAATGAGGGATATAATTGCTGATGTTAGATGGATAGTGACTGAACTGAGCTGCTGTCCTAAGCTCCAGCGCCGGCTTGCTGGCTTCCTCCATGTAGCTGGGGGACTGTTCCCACTCTGGTGGGGATTGCTCTGATTCCTGATAGCTGTGGTTGTCCTGGTTCTCCTGGGAATTGTGGCTCTATATCAGTTTTGCCATCTGCAGACAGTTGGCACCTGGATGACATAAAGGAGCATCAGGACTGGCTAGAAAAAATGAAACAACAATCCCCAAACAGCATTTTAAAACTTTAACTGTATTTATTTCAGAATTGTATTAATCACAAAATTAACTATTACACTAGAGGGATTTTTGAAAAAGAAAAACAATACATAGTCCTTCACTAATCAACCCAAATCATCTTCATTCAATCATAACTCTTGGAAAGACATTTAAGAACTTGCCCAATGAAGAGTGCTGACCTGCTGAAGAGGTCATTTGCTTTAGGACGGTTTTCAAAGGCTCTGTCTGTGAGGGGCTTGGGGGAACTGTATCCTTTCTCACAAAGGAGCTGTGGTAGCATAGTGGTTATGAATTGGGCTGCTTATCTTATGGTCAGCAGTTCGAAACTACCAGCTGTTCCGCGGGAGAAAGATGAGGCTTTCTGCTCCCATAAAGATTTACAGCCTCAGAAACCCCGTACAGGGTTGCTGTGAGTCGGAACCGATTCCACGGCACATAATAACAACAACAGTCCTTCCTCACATTGCTCTCAGCCAGAAGGGGATGGCAGGATGGAGAAAGGGTGCCTAACAGGTAGGTCCTACAAAGAGTAATCTCCCCAAACCAGCTCATTCAATACCTTTGTTGTTGTTGTGTCCCTTCAAGTTTAGGGTTTCCAAGGATTGGCTAGTGGATTTGAACTGTCGACCTTTCGGTTAGAAGTCTAGTGCTTATCCTGCAGACTTTCTTGTTTATCTTTGCAGTCATTTATATAAGAAGAACCTCGATGTAACCAAAATGCAAAAAGGGAAACCTCAGCCACTTCTCAGAGTGGACGACCATGATTTCACCATGAGGCCCGCCTTTGGAGGTAGGACGCTTGTCACAGGGCTGCGTGGTGCTACTCTTCCTGTGGTTCTCTTGGACACAACCTTTCCTAGGTGGTGCGATTTTCCCACTCCTGGTCAAATAAACCCAATTGCGTTTCGGGAGTCACCAATTTTCCCAAGGAGATAAGAACTGGCAGGAAGTGAGGGGGGAATGTTGTTGACTGAAAGGATGCTGACGGATGACTAAGATGTTGGCATCCAGAATGGAGGCCTGCCCTGCTGCTGCAAGAGCAGGCTGGGAGAGTCTAGAATTTTGTGTTCTGAGGGGCCACCTGCTTTCCAAGCAATGAGAACAATTTCCTCTATTAAAAGACCTCCTGGTAGCCCTATCCCCAAACGAGTGTGACTGCTTGCGGGGGTCAGGGATTTGGAGAGTGACCTGTGGCTGTCTTTTCAGGAGCTGGAGAAGTGCCACAGCAGAGTCTGGAAACAAGTTGGTCATCTGTTCTGACCAGGCAGGGAGTCCAGTGAGAATAGCAGAACGTAAAAGATTCCCGGGCCAGTTCCATGCTTGTGCACTGTGGGAAAACTGAGGCCCAGAGTAGTTCAGGCGCTGGGCCTGGCGAAGACTAACCTACACAGGCTGGCTTCCCTTTCTCCTTTTTCTCTGCCCTTTGTGCTCTCTTAGGAACCAGTGTTCTGGGGCAGAAGGAATAGGGGTGGCTTTCTGTGCCTCCATTTGCTCGCATGTGAACTGGGGACAATCTTCTCTCTATGTATGGAGTTGTCATGAGGATGAAACAAGATAATGTATATACAGCCCATAGCATATGTTAGTTCACACATTCTCTCAGAAAAACCCAGCTGTTAGACCTTTCTTCTGTGTGGCTGTGGTGTTGTTAAGTGCCGTGGAGTTAGTTCCGACTCATAGCGACCCTGTACAGGGTTTCTGAGGCTGTAAATCTTTACGGGAGCAGAAAGCCTCCTCATCTTTCTCCTGCGAAAGAGCTGGTAGTTTCGAACTGCTGACTTTGAGATTAGCAGCCCAATTCGTAACCACTACGCTACCAGAGCTCCTAGTGTGGCTGTGAGAGGATTCAAAATTTAATTGATCCCTGAGGTTTTTGCATTTTAAAAGGGCTCAAAACTTCCCATTAAACTTCTTGAGCTCTGACCCTTGTCATGCAGGATAAAGAGACAGCAGGTTACTGAGATCCTTGCCTGGTTCTGGGAGAAAGTGAGGAAAGCCAGGACCTAATTCTTAGACACGGTCTGGAAAACCGGTGCTGAGCAGAACCACCTGAAGGGTGGCAGCGCTCTCAGGGGTGCTCTCTCCTCAGTGAGGCCGTCAGTGAGTGGAGACTCAGGACAGTCTTCTCCTTGCTCCTGACCTGGGAGAAGCTGCAGGTGCCGCTCCAGCTGTCAAGATCTCAGGCTCCAGAGCATAGGGTGGGGGCTGTTCCTCCCTCCTTCCAGCTGACCCTGGGGCACCTTTTATCCCTGCACAGCTCTTTTGGGGTGTCCAGATGTCACTTGGATGAAATAGGGGACAGAAAGCACGTAGTGAAGCTCTGGACTCCACATCCAGACCAGGCTGTGAATAGAAAGGTTTGTCATTCCTGGGAGAGACAGGCAGGTCGAAGCCGAAGACGGGAATCCCTGGCCAAGCAGGGGGGATGGGGCAGTTATAGGAGGGACTTCCTGCCCTTCGAAGTGAAAGTGATTTTGATAAGCTATATTCTTTGAGAAAGTGTCCCTGGGTGGCACAAATGCTTAAGCACTCAACCACAAGCCAGAAGGTGGGTAGTTTGAAACCCTCCAGAGGACCTCAGAGAACAGGCCTGGTGAGAGGTCATAGTCTAGGAAGCAGTTGTGTTTGGTACACGTGGTGTCACCATGAGTCGGCACTGACTAGAAAGCAAATAATAACAACCATCTTTTGAGAGCAAGGGAACTGGCTTGAGCTCGAACTCCTTCATTGCATGTGCTTTTGAGGGTCCCCATTCCAGCTGCACCTTATCCTGGGTAGAGCACTGCTTAGGGGATAGGTGGGTCTCTGTGAGGAAGGAGGTGGGCAAACAGCACGTAGGAGACTCTGACAATAGAAGATATCCCTTTCCCAGGGGCATACCTGAGAAAGGACCCAATCTGCCCTAAAACTTGGGAGCTGGCCCAGCCTACCAACCCCTTCAGTTACAGCCTAGCACACTGAGCAGGTCATTTAAACAAAGATGTCAGTAGACAGCCTTATACTCTTGTGGGATGTGTCCTCTCATTTCCCATCTTTTGTTTCCTTTTGTATTTCTCAGACAGAGATTTTCTTGTGGATTTATGTTCAGTAGGTGATGGAGGAGAATTTGTACTTGGATGACCTTTTAAGTCTGGAAAAAGAAAAGATTAAAAATCTAATAGTTTCCTAGTAATCCCAGGAATCAGTTAAAACAAAAATATCTTGTTGAAGCAACCAGCTGCCTGCTTTGGGAGTGTGCTTTAATGTTCACAGCATCGTCCTCGGTGTTGGCTTGCTCCTTCTCGCAGTCTATCTACCTCCGACCCATGCTCATAAGCCAGTTTAGTGCATTTCTTACATCACTACTTCCAACCATGTGACCTTATTAAAATTAGAAATCATTGCTCAAATTCCTCCTATCAGTTACTTTTTGTTTAATTAATTAGCTAATTTATTCAAAGTGTACGGATTAAGAAAGTCCTTGGTGTTACAAACAGTTCAAACACTTGGTTGCTAACTGAAAGGTTAAAGATTTAAGTCGACCTATCAGAAATGCCTTGGAAGAAAGGCCTGATAATCTATTTCCAAAAAAGTCATGAAAACACTAAAAATCATGTTGCCATGAGTCAGAGTAGACTTGACAGCAACTAGTTAGTTGTTGGTTGGTAGTGATTAAGAATACAGACTTTAGGTTTCTGGTTATCTATTACTGCACAATAAACCACTCCCAAACAGTGGGGTAAAAGTGTTAACAGGCATTTCTTGTGCTTACACATCATGTTGATTGGGGTCAGCTGGGCTGTTCTTATTTGGGCTCTCTTATATGGTTGCAGTCAGGTGGTGGCAGCTTGTAGTCATCTCAAAGGTTCTTTGCTCTCATGTCTGATAAGTGGACTGGGAAGACTTCAACACCAGGGGCTGGAATAGCTGGGATCTTCAGGCGTCATTGTCACTTTAGGTCAGCTCATCACATGGTAGCTGAAGAGAAACAAGTAGAATTCTTAGAAGTCTTGTTGCATCATCACATCTGCTGCATTCTCTTAATCAAACAGCCACAAAATTGCACCCAGTTTCAAGGAGATGGGAATTATACTTACCTCTTTAAAGGAGGAATATTAAAGAATTTGCAAATAAGTTACAGTCAATATGATGCCATAGATACATGTACTGGAATGACCCCCTGACAACAAAGACCCAAGGAGGCACAAAAAAGTCTCCAGACTCTAACAGAGAGTTAAAGAAATAAACTGAGCACTGACTGAAAGGAGAAGTAAAACTAGACTAACAGGAAAGCAGAGATTTGTCAGCATGGAGCAGTGTGATCATTTGGGGACCACAGACTGACGAACTCAGGAAAGAAACTGCAAAGAGAACACAGCTATTGGGAGAGATTACGTGCAAGCAACCCTAGGAAGAAATGCCTAGGTGGACAGAATGTGGTCAGGGATTGAGTACCTTTGTGGGCAAACACAGGAGTGGTGTAGATTTGTAACCAGGAAACCACAGGGTAGTAGACCTAGAACCAGCATTTAGAACAGACAGGAGGAGAATTGAAGCAATGGATTAGTGGAATAAGGGTATTGAATTGAAGCAACAGAATTAGTGGAATAAGGGTATTAGCAAGAAAAGGAACAATTTACACATGGTCAGAATTCCAGAACAAGAGAAGACCAAAAATTTTAAAGATTTCCTGGCGGAAAACTTTACTAACATCTTGAAATATCCACCCAAGAAGCTCAATGAACCACTTATAGGCTAGGTCCCAAGAGAAAAACAAGACATAGTCATTATAAAAATTTCCAAAACCAAAGATGAAGAAAGAATCCTGAGAGCAGCTTAGGAAAAATGAAATAAAAGAGGACTTTTAAAAAAGTTCATGGAAAAATTCCATTATATTTTAATAAAAAAGGGGGGGAGCAATAAGACTAATCTCTTATTTCTCAGCAGAAACCATGCAGGCAAGGAGGCAATGGGATGACATATAAAACCCTGAAAGAAAGGAAAAAAAAAAAACCAACCAACAATTATATACTCTGCTAAATAGTCTTTCAGATACAATGGAAAAATTAAAACATTTCTAGATAATGGAAAGTAAAGGAATTTGTAAAAAAACAAAACAAAAAAACCAGACCTGCCTTACAAGAAATATGAGAGACTTTTAGACAGAGAGCCAACAATATCAGACAATAATATGAGATTAAGGCACATGACGGCATCAGTCAGATATCAATTCAGATAAATAAATCTTAAAAATAAAATAAAGTTATAAGACTATAAATAGGGACCAGAGACATCAATCTGTAAATGACAACAACTTCAAAACAAAAAGAGGAAAAAAATTAGTTATTAAACTCCCATATGGAGAGGAAGTCAAGCTAATATCAAGAAATAGGAGACTATTTTAAATTTAGGAAAACAAACATAAATTTCAGGATGACTACAAAGAAAATTCATAAACCTATTAATCAAAACAAAGGAAACCTGGTGGTGCTGTGGGTTAGGGGTTGGGCTGCTAACCACAAGGCTGGTGGTTCAAACCTACCAGCCACTCCATGGGAGGAAGACGAGACTATCTAAAAGTTTACAATTGAGAAAATCCTGTACAGGGTTGCTATGAGCCAGAATTGACTTCATGACAGTGAGTTTGGTTTTTGTTTATTCATCGAAACAAAAAAGAAGAGAATCACAAAAACTAAGTAAATACAAAATCAGCAACAACAAAAGAAATGAAAGGAAAATGAACAAACAAAAAGAACTCATCACAGACATTTAAGTAGAATAAAGGAACTGTAAACACCACGCACACACAGA